ATATGTGGAGGGGTTAAGTTGGTGGTTGGAGGGAAGAGGGGTTGGGAGGAGGATGAAAGCGAGGTGAAGGTTTAGAAAGGTTTCGATGGCTCACATGTTGCCAATCAATTGGGCTAGGCAGACGAGAAAGGCGAGCAATCGGCCAACTGTCGGGCGGGCCAATGACAGTGAGTGAGAGAGAGAGAGAGAGAGAGAGAGAGAGAGAGAGAAGGAGAGAGAAGGAGAGAGACAGGGCAGAGGCGCGCGAGGCAGGTGCGAGGACTGCGAGGGCAGCGACGGCGGGGCATGCAGGAAGGAGCGGAATGGAAACACAAACGGAAACAGAGATGGAAACAGAAGCAAAGAAACAAAGAGCAGAAACAAGAGACTTACCAAGGCGGGTTGAGTTGGCATGATAGCAAGACCACCGGCTGGAACCTGCTGGTAGTAGTAGTTGCTGTTGTTGTTGTTGTCGTTGTTGTTGCTGGCCTGGTAGCCATGGCCGGGCCTCAAGTGATGGGACAACCGTTGAGGAGCGGGGCGGGGGTGGCCAGCTACGACCATCGCCCGTGAGAGTGGCTGCAGTGAGATTCCAGGGGGAACGCCTCGTTGAAAGCCTCCGGGCATGATGCCACTGGGATATTCTCTTCCTCCTCCTCCTCCTCCTCCTCCTGCTCTTCTTCTTCCTGTCTGCTGGTTGTGCATCGTGTTTCGTAGAGCAGGGACCAAGTGGCCAGCGGGCGGGCGATGATAGTATCTGTCGGGGTAGTACAACCCTCCCAAGCCGTGGCGCCGACGCCATGACGTGCGACGATGCGGAAGAACCTGCTGTTCGTAATGGCCATGGTCATTGCGAATCTCGACGCTGGTCCGGTACGTGCTTCTCTCTTCGTCGTCCTCGAAGAAGCACATGATGACCTTGGGCTGAGTTCCGGATCCTCGAGCGAAACAAGGTGGTGGTTTGGGGAACCCGTGCAGGGCCGCAACCCTTGCCCATCGTTGTGCTCGGGTTGAGCCAGCCACGCAGGTGCCAAGACTAGAGAGCCACTCGACAGCCATTTCAGGTTTCGACCTCAAAAGCAAAGTGAAGAACACCCAACTTCCTCGTCACCTTTGGGCAGTCTAAAACGCCCCTCACTCTGGCATTTTTCCCCGGCCAACAGGGGCTCGACTGAGAGGCAAACGGTCTGATCCATACTTGGCTCCCTTTCTCATGTCTTCTTCCCAGTTCCCACCTTTGGCACTGTGCCACCCTCAACAGTCCCCGTGCCTGCTGCCCCACCGCTACCAGATGCTTTGCCTTTCCGCCTAAACAGCCCCCTCAGTCTCCCAAAAACAGGAACAACAGTCCACCTGGCAAACCACGGCGTGGCCCATACACTGAACATGATTCGCGGCACCAGAAACATCTTGGTAATCGCATAGGCCGTCGCAAACTCAACCACCAGCCTCACTCCCCCCTCGCCCATATTCCACGCTCTGTCTACTCTTCTCCATCCACCCTTGCCCTCATTCTCACCCGGGACAGCTTCGTTGTGCTTCTCAACCTCCACCTTGGCCTCGGCAGCTTCCTCGCTCCTGATCCACCCCTTCCGTCTAAAATACCGCCCAAACCTCTCCACTCCCCTGGCCGCCCAAGCACCCTCTGCAACCCACGGGGGAAGCCAGTGCGTATAGTGAAAGTACGCTGCCAGACTGAATAGCGGGATGACGGCGGTGAGTTCGTGCAGGATGAGGAAGGATGTAATGTGGGTGAGAGGCGCATTCGAGAGTGCAGAGGTGTACTTGTGGAGGAATCGTGGAAGCCGGCGGTTCACCCGGGCTAGCCGCGAAGATGCTGTACGAGGGGTGGGCGTGGGCGTCGAGGTCGCGTAGTGTTGCGTGCGCAGGGAAGAGCGTGCTGGGAAGCGGATAAGGGGAGGAAGGCGGCGCAGCATGGTTGTGGCCTTTTTTGTCTTCTCTTATAGACAGATGAGATGAATTGGAGATAGACCGTCTACGATCTGGGGATGAGCAGCGTCCTGGGGTTGGTTTTGCAGTGTCAGGATGCCATGGGGAATCTGAAGTGGTCGTCTGGTCGTGTTGAAGATGACGTCGGTAGTTGTACGCGCTAAGGCCGACCATCCTGGTTCGCTTACGCATGACTGCCGTTGCGCTAGCCAGTGCCGGTAATCCATCGTCTGTCTGTCTCCCCTCTTCCGCCTCTGCGTCCTCAACTCTCTGCGTCCTCAACTGCATTGGATAGAACAAGTCACGGCGCCTTTGATAGAGACCAAGAGCAAGCTTGCATGGCTGCTTCTCTAGACTTGGTCGTAGATTCTATCTTATCGAGCTCACCCATTCTCGCACGCTACCCATTCTACACGCATATAGCACTAAACAAACATTCATCCTATCTTTTCATCAAGTTCCTATTGGAGCACAGAGCATGTCTCTATTCCATGACTGACTACATGACCATTCACAACTTCTCCGCCACCTCGACAAAGTCCTCCAGAGGCCTTACAGGCCGTACGCCAGTACTCAGCTGCATACTCGCCTTCCAGGCATGAACATCTTTAATCAGCACAGGATGCGACGCGTCCACTACGCGCTGCACATCCGCCGTCTCGTCGAGAGCCTTGGGCTCCGCAGGCAGGCCTGATTCTGCCATGCCCATAGCAGCCTTCGCTTCGTCGAGTACCTTGCCTGCAATGTTCTTGTCGAGCTTGAGATCTTCAAACAGGTGTTTGGCAACGGCATCCGCAATGGCATCCGTCGACGAAGCATCCGTCATGTGGGAGTCCAGCTTGGCATCATCATGTGTCATCTTGTGCTCTGTAAGAATAATCTTGAGTGCTTCCACAGCTGCACTCTTCTTCTCATCGAGCGAGGGCTCCTTGGCCTTGGCTTGCGCCTGCAAATGTACCGAAAGCTTTGCACGCTGCGAGGATGATGTGGAAATGTAGCGAGCATAGAAATCGACCATGTCTTGCTTCGTAAGCGCGTCAATAACCTCGGCGTCCGTCTCGGCTGTTCTAGGATTAGCAAGAATAGATAGAGATCCGCCGAGTGTGCTCTCGTACCTTGTCGGAAATCATACGAGTCACTATAGATATGATTCCAGAATCTGTCATCTTCCGAAGACAAATTCTTTAGCTTGGCAAGACGTTTGTTAATAATCGCCTTTTTATGGCTCTCAAAGTCTTCCTCGCTCATCTCGTTGAGCATGCCCTCAAAAGTGTTCAAGAAATTCTCAATGCGACCTTCGAGGTATCGGCAGTCTCTTTCGCTCTGGATGAGGATACGGTAGCCGGACCAGACGTCGTGGAACGACGGGCCTGAGAAGACGACATACCCGAGCTGTTCGATGGTTCGCAGCTGATTGAAGCACGGCTCATCCGTCATTTGTCCAAGCAGCTGCAGTTTGGCGCGGACCGCGTCATCGTAGCGATGTCCCACGTACAAACTGTACTCGATGCAGTGATTGACATTAGCTGGATCCTTGAGCTCCTTTTCGAAAATGAAGTTGCTACCGGATGGTAGGATCAGGTTGCGTCGAATTGGCAGCTGGCTTGCAGGTAGCTTTTTCGGCTTGACGGTTCGTTCCACGAGATCTGTGATTTTCAAGGCTTCCTCCTTGTACAGATTTCCGTGTGCAAGGATTTCAATTTGACATTGCGCCAGGATTTGTGGGAAGAATTGCTGCACATCTCGCGCTGTCACACCCTCAAGCTCTTTGAGCAGCTCAGCGTTCAAGAATGATGTCTCGCTCTTGAACTGCCGCGAATAGGTTCCAACCTGCTGAAAAGGCTGGCCATAGTCCCAGTTCCTCAGCGAGCGCGTCATGCGGTCGTGGACAATCCGGAAGCGATCCTCATGGACTTCAAGGTCGCGAACCTGAAGCAGTACCTTCTCCAGCAAGACATGCAACTTATCATTGTAGCCACTTACCGTGATAGATAGGCCGCTCATGTGGTTGGTAAAGTCGTAGACTAGACCGGAAATATCAGCATCGTATGTGTACTCTACCAAGGCATCGTTGACGAGTTCGCGGTACATTGTGCACAGCAAGACAACGCGTGCAGTGACATTTGTGATTGGTGTTCGGAAGTAAATGTGCACGTTGGCCTTGGGCACCCAAAACTGGTCGTCCTTCTTCCACCAGATGCGGACATTCTCATCATTCCTTATCAGCTTCGGTTCTTTCGCTGGCTGCTCAACCTCCTTCTTCTCCACGTCTAGGCGACTAGGAATGAATTCGTTCTTGTGAGGGAAGTGCAGCTCAGCTGGTCTGTCCTTGCTTTCGAATGCTTCCTGGATTTCGGCGAGGAAATCTTGAGGTATCCTTTCCTGCTTGTACTCTGTACCATACCACCTTTCCTTTTGGTCCCAGCCACCCGGGAACTCTTGGCTGATGATTCTCAAGTTGAAATTATCGGGTCGCAGGTACGACATGGCCTCGCTAATTAGCTTGGCATCAAACTTGCGGATCGTAGCTGGACCGCTGAGGAGTAGGTTTCGAGCGTATGGTTTTTGCATGGTGCCTGCCAGTCCGCTTACGGTACGGCTGGGTGGACTCTTTTGCTTGAAGCGGAAAGCTACCTCGGTGATTCTCATTTGCTCTTGCACTACCCATTCCTGGGGCGGCTGATCCCGGATCATGCCGATGTATTGGAAGATCAACTTTGCAACCTCCTTGTAGTTTTTGAGTCCCTCCTCGGTCAGCTTGACGTTGATACTGAACAGACCCGAACCAGGACACAACGTAGAACCTCCAGCTCCTAGACCGTTTGCCCACCCTTTTGCCTTGATCAGGGCCAGAATGCTGCCAGGGCCTTCGTGACCGATCAAGTGACTCAGATATCTAGAAGGGTGGGATTCGTAGAAGTTTTCCTCGTCACGATAGGCAAATTGAATATCTAGTGATCTCGACTCCAGCACTGGCTTGGCAAAGGTCTGTGTCAGGAGCTCATTTTCGGTGTAGACTGGTATGTCCCAACGGAGGAGCTCTAGATCTTTGTTTGGCACTTTGGCAAAGATTTCTTCGACCCATTCCTCAAGCGTATCTAAGCTTTCACGACCCAACACCACCAGCTTCATCCGGTTGGCTGAGTAGTGTGTCGAGTAGAACTTGATGAATTCGTCGCGAATCTTGACGCCACGTGCAATTGGATCATCATGTAAGGTCTTGTAGCTCCCAGTGGAGAAGTGATTATAGGGATGATTTGGGTTCGCCAAGGCCTTGTTAAGTTGATGTAAGCGCCATGTGTCGTTTTGTAGGTTCTTCTTGTTTTCCGAGTCCACGGCCTTTAGTTCGCGGTCCACCGTGTCTTCGAGGAAGAGTGGACTGATGAAGAACTGGCCAAATCGGTCCAGTCCACCCCACAGCGGTGACTTCTCCTTGGACTCTGGCAGTTGGGTAACTGATGGTGTTGGCGAAGGCGGCTTGCTGTTGGCAGTGGATGGATAGGACAACTCGAAGTAATAGTTGGTGGAAGTGGCGGCGGTGAAGGCATTCGAGTAACCACCGTGACTCGTCAGATATTTGTTGTACGCGTTTTCTTCGGGGTATTTCTCGGTTCCCATGAACAGCAGGTGCTCGACGGCATGCGCAATACCCGGCATGTCAGGCGCATCGCTGAAGCTGCCCACATTGACATCCAATGCCGCGCTGGCCTTGTCTGTCCCGGCCTCGTGTATGAGGAGTACTTCGAGCTGATTCTGGAGAGTGAAGATGCGATATGAGCGGTCATCCAGTTGCGGTCTCTCCAGATCCTCAATCCGCTGTCTCCCTTCGACACTTCTTCCTAGCTCTGCTATCATGATGGGCGAAGGATTTATGGAGGCTGTGATGCTGCGGCGTGCAGTTGCAGTATGTGGCGAGGCAGGTGTAGGCCTGAGCAAGAGCGGAAGGCGTCTGAGGTGAAGCAATGGGTGACCTGAGGCGGACGTGGCGGATGATGAGAAACGTCGCAGGACTGTCGTGTAGCCGGCTTTGTGCCGTGCAATTCCGGGATTGGAAGTGAGTGTTCGGTGATGTGAGACGAGTGACAATTTCCCCAGATACAATCGCGCGCGTTGGACAGGAAGCATCCAACGAGACCTCTGCCAGTGCAGATTCGGTCAGCAGCGGGTGGGCGGGCTTGCTGAAGGGGGTGGGGAGGGGGGGAGGGGAGTTTCACTGCCACAGCCAATTCAAGGAGCCGTCTAACCTGTCCACTCAGTCCTACCTAGCAGACACGCCGTGGCCGTGACCGTGGCCGTGACCGTGACAAACAGATGGCGGTGAGACAGGAACAGGGCTCAGGGCTGGTAAGGTTGGCTAGATATGTAAAGTGATCCGACATGGCTTACTTGACTTGCTTGGAAAGAAAGAAAGCTCCCTAGCTTCCAAAACAATCCGCCAACCCGCTGGTTCGGGACCGATTGGCGTCCAGCGATCCCCTCCGGGGGCCCCTCCAGTCCCCTTGTCGCCATCACGGTGCGCAACCAAAAAAAACCAACAACAACAACAACAACAACAACAACAACAATCGAAATGACTGCACAAGACCACTGTAAGTAAAAAGTCGGCTGTTCAATGTAACCATGTACAGGATGGAAAGCAAGGATGCACGTCTGACCCAGATTCATATGGGAAAGGGTAGGTAGGTAGGTAGGTAGGTAGTACAACAACAGAATCCATGACAGTCCTCTCCAACAGACAATACGGACATCATCAGCTGCAGCCTGTGTGTGTGTGTCTGTGTATGTATGTGTACATACTGTATACCTACCTAGCCTCGTGCTTCCTGCGCCTCCATGTACCTATCAGTGCTGATTGTCTCACATCCACGTGCCCCGGTTGACACCAGCGCGGTAGTGGTAGACATCTCTGATGTACCACCTCGAACCTCGAACGCGGTTGAAGGGTGACGCAGCATGGGATGCATGGCAAAACCTACATGGCTCGTGCAATCCATAAACGGCAGCCCTCGCTTGCCAAGTCAACCCAAGACAGGGCGACAACATACACATCGAAGACAGTCTGAAGAGGACTCGCAATCTAGGCGGGCCAGAGTCAAGACCAGCTATCGTGGCCAGCAGTGGTGATAGAGCGCGTGTAGAAAGCGCACACGCATGGGGTCGCAGAGGGGGCGCATAGAGTCATCACATCACCTCCTGCCTTTGCCCCTACCTCTCCCTGCAGATCCTCGTGGTCCAGCTTTCTTCGGACAGCTGGTCGCCATGTGTCCCAGCTTTCCACATTGATAACACTCCACTTGGCTCATGTCACGGCCAGCCGGCCTGCTACCACCTGTTCCGCCAGACAAGGATGTAAGATTGCCCAAGTACATATCCTCATCAATTGGTTGAGGCGGTGCTCGCGCCGCATCACTGCCCATACTCGCTCGTGATTTTCGGGACTCACGTCGCTCGGCAGCCACTTCGCGCTTCGTCTCTCGTATCAGCTCTGCAGTGGGGTCGTCCGAGTCGATATCCTCGCCTGAAGAACTTATCTCGCCTTCTGAGTTTTCCGCCTTCTCAAAGGGTACAGATGCCTGGGGATCTGGTTAGAAGATGTAAGGGTAGCGGGAACGGGTCGCCAATGGCTTGAACCACTTGCTTTTTCTTTCTTCTTGATACCTCCACCAAACTGCATCCTAGCAGGCCTGACTTGGTCTTCTTCCTCGTCAGAGTCATTCTCTGCGTCAATCTCCGCAAATCCAGCTGTCCTGACCTTCATCGACTCTTGCCGTCTGCCATGGAGTCCGTCTTGGAAGCTCAGTACCCATTTAGTCTCGCCTGAATATTGCGCCGCCTTGTCGGAAGCCTCTTGTCGCTTTCTTTCTTCCTCGGCCAATGCAGTTTGCAGGATCTCGTGGTCATGGGAATTCGGCCTACTGGACGCAGAACCACCGTTTGAAAGACGA